TTCCGCGTTAAACAGGTTGGCTTATAATTGTATTTTATATAGCAAATCGTTACTAGATTTACTTCAGTTATATAAGGTTTCCGATTTTAAAGAGTGTCCGTCTTATACAGGTTTTGCCGTATAAACAGTCTGCTGCTTTCTAATATTTACGAAACAGTTATAGCCTACGAGACTATCCAATGAAAAAAACCCTTTCACCATTTGGCTGCCCCATTGTGGGCCTTGTATTCCCATTGTATGCCCCATTGTGGGCCTCAGTATTATATTAGTTACCTACCGAATTGAAGTTATGCGATATGCTTTATTATGTTTATTTTTATTTTAAAATAACAAAGGTGCTTTGGTATCAAGAGGGTGTTGCAGCATCATTGTGGATACGCCCTGTTCGCATGTGCAACTGTTATTTGTATGTGATTCAACACTTGCATGAGAAAAAGTTGAAAAATCCCAACTTTTTGCATGCGACTAGAGCACCGATACATGCTTACACATGAAAGTAGTGTTTACTGACACGTGAAAGTGTATTTTACTGTTGGTTCCTTAAAATTCATACGCATGTAATCCGGTTATATTCAATTTCAAATCATGCTGCATCTAAAATAAACAGTTTAACAAGCAGACAGCACACAAATAACACTCATCAATCTGTGTATATAATTAATAAAAACACACTATAAATTTAGTATGAATGTGTATTTAATTTTTAAATTATAAACTTAAATACCTAAAAATTATATTTATATTTTCATTTAATATTTTATTTAATATTTGAATAGAATAAAAATCAATTGTTTATTATTTTTATATCCATCTTAATGATGTGTAATTGAAATACTCAACTTTGAAATCATTTATCATGTTAATAATTGAAGAATAAATACAATGAAAGGAATAAAATGACAGATTTAAAGGAAAAACATCTGTATTATTAACTGTTATTTTTCTTTATTATTTAAATTATTATAATAGCATGGGCGTATTCCTTGACATTCGACATCCTTTTATGTGATCCTCTGTAAATTTAATCCTTTGAGCCAATGGCTCACTTCAAAAGTCATTTCAAAATGGCCTTTAACTATGATTATTTATATAAATTTTTCTTTTAGACGTGACATTACGAGCAACAATTATTAATATAATAACAAAAATTAATGTGATGTATAAATATCGAAATTTCAAGTCAATATTGATACAGTATATAAATATTAAATTTCGTGCTATAGACTAAACAACTGTTAAACATTCAATCAGTGCGGAAACATGGATTTAGTATTGTCTTACTTCTTTATTCTCCTGTTTAATAGTAAGTATGTGTTGAAAATATATACAGGGGTAGTCTAAAAGTCAGTTAACCACGTGAATCTATCGAAATAGCTGTTAAAGCATTTTAATTTAAGTAATGAGCGAAACAAATATCATTTTAAACAATCTTTATAAAGGGTAGAAATACTGTATAAGCAGCCGTGCAGACTTTGTTAACTGATTTTTTTTGGCACACTATATTTATATATAAATGAAATTTATAATTTAAATTTTATACTAATTATTTTGTTTTTCTGTTATAGAAATTAACGTAAGAAATTCTTGTTTTACTTCAAAGACTGACGTATCGGTAAGTGAAAATAAAATGTATAGTACATCTATGGTAGGGTGTATATAATAAAAATAGCCTTACGAGCATAATATTCAATCGGCATATCGATCTAAAACTAGTGTTTCTCAAACGGGATTCCGGGATCCCGATTGTTTTTCTAACCGGGAAATATCCCGGGAAATTTTTCTTATCCCGGGAAATCCCGGAAATTTCTTAAAAATTCACTTTTTTCTTATTTTGTGTTAAAGTTAAGAAATTTTGCAAATAAAAAGCATAATTATCTCATTCACCGTCAGAATACATTTGTATTTATTAATTTTAAACCTACATATTAGTTTTTTTTTAATTTTTGCTCGTTATGGCATGTATGGCGTGTCACAAATGGTCAATAATCAATACGTAACTTATTTGTGGCAGGACTCTGAAAATTCTTTACTTGTCAGAACCTGTAATATATGAATAATTGTGCTTGCGCTGTCCTAATTTTTAACCATGCCCAGTAGCTTCAATAAATGCGTAACGCCAGGTTGTGCAAATTGGGCAAAGATACAAACGAGTATAAAGTCTGCAAGTATGAAGTTTTTCTTCATAAACCTGATTATTAAAGCCAAATGAATTGCCGAATTATCGAGCTCTAAGCTTGATGCCGCTATTAAAGCAGCCAAGGTAGACAAATCAAGAATACTAGAGAGCGAAAGAAGTACTACAATCTCGAAAACGAACTCGAAA